CGGGGAAAGTGGTAAACATTCTTTATTTACAGTATATTCGTATGAATGCAAAATGAATTGACACTGAACTTGTAAAACATAGTTCCAGCATAAGCACTATGAACTATGAGACTGCAAATTTGGGACAGTAATATCAAATAATAATAGCCATTTCTAATTTCTTCAGTCAAGAAGAATTAAGGACAATGAATCAATCCAGTAATTATTAAGATCCATATACCAAAACACCAAACTAAAACATGAACACATTAAAAGTAACTTTACAACCATATCTGTGTCGTCCCTGTAACAACAGTGTTTAGATTTATTTCCTATGAACATTGTATTGGATCCAGCTTTTAAAGCAATTTCCTGAAAAAATAAAGCATTAATTGTTTAAATCCTTGGCAACACTTGTATATCATGATCAAAAGAAGGAAAAGGAGAAAATCTGATATAAAGGAGACTTTATTAAAACTGAATTCAAATATATATTGAAGGATATAGTGTGTCAGAAGACAGAAATAGATATAAAAAGCATACTTACAATACATTAAATATACAGGATTATAGGGATGAACACAAGTACAATACAAATTAAATAATTTAAACCAGTGAGAATTGTGTACAAAGAAAATAGAGAAAGAGAGACAGGAATGGGTATCTGGCTTATAAAGGAAATAATGTAAATCAGTATTAAATGAATGATAAACAAATAGATAATGTCTATCAAAGTGAAATTCTATGTTGCATACAAACTCATGATGACAGAGTAAGCACTGCATGATTCTTGCACTAAAAGAAAAAATAATGCAACCCCTCAAATTAAGCCTAAATTGAAAAATGCAAAAAGTGAAAAAATAAAAAATAATAATATGGAATGAGAATCTCAGTTCCAAGTCTCACAAACAAGAAACTGAACAAAATACTGAGAATAAGAAGGCATCATGAACTGGCAAGAAATAGTATTGTTAAAACGAGAACACAAAGCTAATTTCACTCAGATTTAAAAATCATATAAAAACCATACATTATGCATAGTTAACTAAAACATAGATTTAAAATTAAAAAACACAATAGTATTGGAATTGGACTAGGCTAAACATAACTAAAAAGTGAAGGGAATAGAAAAGAAAATGTAACTTGGAATAACTACAAAACTACACAGAAAAGAAATAAACAATTATATTGAAAATATGACGACATCATAAACTGTCAAGTAATGAATATAAACTCCCACATTTGTCTATAATGTCAATAAAGTCACAATGGAAGTAAAAAAGCGTAGAGCTAGATTACAACAGACGTGTCATCACCACTTTGACATTGTGTTTAGCAACTGATTCCTATGTTGCTTGCCTTTTAAATGCTGTAATGTTTCAGTTGTTTTTCTATTGAAAGAAAATTCATGTTCATGTTCCATAACCAACCAAAGGATATTTTCTTTTGTTACCATATTTCAGTACAAGGATTCACAACAGGCTTCATTTATCTTGAAACTCTGTCCCAGAATGTGGTTTTATGCCAAACTATACAACATTGAAATAATTTCCAGAAAAGTATAACATGAATATTCTTCTGAAAATTATTTCAGTGTTATATAGTTTTAGCATAAAACCACATTCTGGGATAGAGTATCAAGATAAATGAATGTTGTGATTCATTGTACTGAAATTTGGTAAAAGAAAAAAATATTCTTTGGTTGATTATGGAACATTAGTGTCTTAAGTCTTGTTCCAAGAAATTCTTGTAAATACAGCTGAAAATATTTTCCACAATGAATATTTAAAATACCAAACATATCACGATGAACTATACAGTTGTATTTTCTTCAAGATAAATGCAGCTTCCATTTCATTACAATTTGACTTACTGGATGAATCAATAAAGGTTTTTCGTTAATCACTTGATAACTCCATCCTGAAAGGGCAATTCACAAGGCCTTATTTTAAAAGGATATTGCATTTTAATATTCATCATATTTAATAGGAGATGTTTTAACTGAATTTGTATTTAATATGAGAACTAATTCTGAATGAATAAAAAAAGGACCAAAACTTGTAGACTAGTTCTAGACCAATATATTAAATTAATCTGAATTATATTTTAATGAATTACTATCAAAGTTACCAAATATTGGCATTTGAAACAACCACTGGAATGATAAGTATACAAGTTCCAGTGCTCGCAATATTAGATGTCATGTTTTGATTATTGATTGAAAGTTATTTATTTATTACCTGGATGGAGGACTAATTCATAAGATTTATTTCTGATAGTTTTCAAATTTGTATTTTAAGGGGGAAACTACTAGTTATAAATAAGCAAACTGAACAGTCTTAATTGCCTATTTAATATTCTATTTAGCCTTGAACACAGGAGTAGTGGTGAAAGCTGGATATTTATCATATGATTTATTTGGGGGTGGTTGCTTGTTATAGGTAAATGGGATAGGAGATAAGGATGGGTTGGTCTGAGACAGAGAGAACCCAGGGGAGGATCACATTGCAGGAGATACATGAGGACTGGAAGCATTATTGGTACACTGATGGGCAGGAATGGATATGATAGGAAACCTATGAATGGCCTGCCTCAAGGATGCCAGGAATGTTCTTGGAAAGAAATCCCAGCATCTTGCCGTCAATATTTACCCTTGGGACCAATTTAATGGATCCTTGGTGGTCCTGGACTCTGGCTGATGCTTCTGAATGCAAAGTTGGTATGCAGTAAATCTGACCATTATCTTACAATGCATGAGTGCTGACCTAGTGTGCATATGATCTGAAGGGTCCTGAGGAAGGTTCACCTTTTGGAATATACCTACCTTGGTTTTGTGTTTTGTATCAGCAAAGTTCCCAGGGAGGGATGCACAACATACTTTTTCCATCAGCCCTCATGGACAAGCAGATGTAATCACAAAGAGGTAGTCCCTCAAATAATCCAGCCCTATGCCATAAAGGGCTTTAAAGGTTAAAAACAGCACCTTAAATTGGACCAAGAAATAAACTGGCAATCACTGCCAGATGTAAAACAGAGGTGTAATGTGTGCTGTTTTGTGGCACACATAATGGGTCTATGACAATTTGCCATGGCCAACTCGCTATGGCCAATTTGTCATGGCCAACTCACCGCAGCCAACTTGTTGTGGTCAATTTGCTGCAAGACAACTCACCACAGCCAATTTGCTGTAGGACAACTCACCGCAGGACAAGTGTTACACTAATATCAAAGAAGTAATGGAATAGAATCATTGAAAAAAGGATTCAAAAGGAGGGACAGAATGAAATGTGAATGGCAAAAATTAAAATATTTTTTAATTTGTTTTAAATAATTAAATAGAATTGTTAAATTGTCCCGCAGCGAGTTGGCCATGGCGAGTTGGCCGCAGTGAGTTGACTATGGCAAGTTGTTCCATTCCACACATAATTGCCTGTACTATCACATCCTGTATCATCTGAAGCTTTACAATATTCTTCAAGGACAGCTCCATCTAGAGGACATTACAGTAGTCCATGAATTGAATGATCATGAGCAGAGCCTCCTAATTCAGGAATGGGCACAATTGGTGCATAACACAAGCCTGTGCAAAGATCCTCTAGTCATGATGGTCACCTACTCTCTGAGCAGGATTCATGAGCCTAGAAGGACCCAAGATGCACATCCAGGTTCAAAGATGGCGAAGTCCCAAAATTAGCAAAGCCAAAAACCCAAAGCCATTCAGTCCTGCCAGGATTCAGTTGAAGCTTACTGTTCTCCATCCAGATCCCCACCACGTTGAGGCATCAGGATAAAATATCAATGGCATCACTTAATTCATCAGGGACATATATATATAAAAATTGGGTAACACCAATGATACCTCACCCTATAGTGATGGATGAGCTCACCAAATTCCTCATGTATTAAAGAGAGAAAACCATAACCTCAGCACCCCATAGAGTAGGGATCAAAGGCAGAATCACCATCACCACCGACTGGTATTGACTCCAGAGAAAGGAAGAGAACCAGCACAATACAGTGCCACCTACCCCAATTTCCAGAGCCTATTCAGAAAAATATCATGATTGATGGTATCAAAGGCCATAGAGAGATCAAGCAGAGCTAGAATGGATGGACAATCACCACCCCATACATCCCAGAAATCATCTAAAAATGCAATCAAGACCAAATCCTGGGCCTGGGCAACAAAAAATTAGCTACCAATTCTGCCGAACTGGTGTGAACCAGCTGAATCCCACCACTGGGTTGCATTCTAAAAATGTAAAGCATTTTAAAGTGTATGGAGTTTAATTTAATTTAAGCAAAACTGAATAACAATTGAATGAAAATAATTAAATGCAGGTGATATGGTCACACATTATGTACTAAATATTTCTTTTTACTTTTAACAATTACAATTCAAGAGCAATAAAGCACCAAACTCTATAATCAAAGCACTAGAGAGCTGAAGCAGCTCTAGAATCATAACTTAGCCCTGGACTAAAGAAGAAGTGGCTGCATCATATTTAGATGCAAAACACTTGGCTTTCCTTTATTTAAAAATGATAGTTTGTCTTTATTAAATTATTATTTTTAATTTTATATAACTTGCTATTTTTCAGCCCTTTTCTAAAAGCTTTGGACAATTTAGTTCTTTAGGTAGCATAGAAACTAGAGTAGAGTAGAGTAGAGTAGAGTAGAGTAGAATAGAATAGAATAGAATAGAATAGAATAGAATAGAATAGAATAGAATAGAACAACAGAGTTGGAAGGGACCTTAGAGGTCTTCTAGTCCAACCCCCTGCTCAGGCAGGAAACCCTATACCATTTCAGACAAATGGTCCAGTCTCTTCTTAAAAACTTCCAGTATTGGAATATTCACAACTTCTGGAGGCAAGTTGTTACACTGATTAATTGTTCTGTCAGGAAATTTCTTCTTAGTTCTAGGTTGCTTCTCTCTTTGATTAGTTTCCATCCATTGCTTCTTGTCCTGCCTTCAGGCGCTTTGGAGAATAGCTTGACTCTCTCTTCTTTGTGGCAGTCCCTGGGTTTTTGGAATACTGCTATCATGTCACCCTAGTCCTTCTTTTCATTAAACTGGACATACCCAATTCCAGCAACCATTCTTTATATGTTTTAGCCTCTAGTCCCCTGATCAATTAAATGAAACAAAACCCAGAAGCATAATATAAATTTAAACCATCAAAAGGCCGCAGTGAAATTCAACATCAGTACATGCAGTAGACCAATAGAGAGTATGTACAATATAATATAATGTTTTAGCTGTTAATAAAGTAGCCAACAAACATCAAGTAGAATAGTACTCATTTCACTATGGAAAGAAATAAAATTATATTCTTACATGCTTTCTTCTGAGTCAATCATGTTGCATAATAAACAGGTTCAAATAAAGAAAATTATGGAAAAAATACCTAAGTCACATCTGATGTTGTTTTACAAAGTCTGCAAACTGATGATCCTTGGCATAAAGTTCTATAATCCTTATTCTGTCCTGAATCTCCTGTAAAAGTAGGGGGGAAAATCATAGCAACTATACAATAATCCTAAATAAAGCACTATAGTTCACACTATGAGTGTTCTGTACCTATTCAGGATAAAATAACAAAATAGAAAATGCTATATGATATCCTTTTAAAATTGTTTCATTAAATTTGAATCCCACATTTTGACCTGATGTGGGATGCACAAAGTGAAAAATGAAACAAATACAAATTGATAAGCAGTTACATACCTCCTTACTTAATTCTCTGTTATCATAAATATGTTTGATCTCTTCACTGCTATATTCAGTGGAAGTCTCATTGCTTGTGGAACTATATGAAGTTAGCTGTGGACATCTCCGATAATAGTGGCTATATCCAGTGGTATCACTTTCATACATTGGGTTGTATTTGACTGCATATTCAATGGATGAAAGACTGTCTCCTTGCCTATAAAGAAAACAAACTGAACAAATGTCAAACAACACTGTTTGCATAATATTTCCCAAAATTGAGTTGACAGTAGCTATTCTTAGGTAGTCAGAAAAATGAGTGAGGATGTCCTTCACCCCAATTTACATGTGTTGACTGGAAAATCTGAAAACAAAGTATAGCTGAATTTGGATGAGCTACATTCCATTTTCCATCTCATAAATAAATTTCCATGGAAAGCTGTAACTGAATTCATTTGATTGCCATCTCTATAAATTTGTCCCATCAACACTGAAAGACTGGAGGGTGAGGGTGATGTTTAAAAACTGTGCACTGAACCCTATCCTTCACCCTCCAGTCTTTCAGTGTTGATGGGACAAGTTTATAGAGATGGCAATCAAATGAATTCAGTTACAGCTTTCCATGGGAATTTATTTATGAGATGGAAAATGGAATGTAGCTCATCCAAATTCAGCTATACTTTGTTTTCAGATTTTCCAGTTATCCATCATTCTGAGCAATAAATAATCAATATCTGTGCTGGAGAAGGTTCTACAAACTAGAACTCCATAACAAAGCAGAAAAAATAAAACACTGTTTTATTAGGACCTCGAAGTCCTAGTAGACAATCACCTAAATATGAGCCAGCAGTGTGCTGCAGCTGCCAAAAAGGCCAACACGGTGCTAGGCTGCATTAACAGAGGGATAGAATCAAGATCACGTGAAGTATTAATACCACTCTACAATGCCTTGGTAAGGCCACACTTGGAATACTGCATCCAGTTTTGGTCACCACGATGTAAAAAAGATGTTGAGACTCTAGAAAGAGTACAGAGAAGAGCAACAAAGATGATTAGGGACTGGAGGCTAAAACATATAAGGAACGGTTGCTAGAATTGGGTATGTCTAGTTTAACGAAGAGAAGGACAAGAGGGGACATGATAGCAGTATTCCAATATCTCAGGGGTTGCCATAAAGAAGAGGCAATCAAGCTATTTTCCAAAGCACCTGAAGGCAGGTCAAGAAGCAATGGGTGGAAACTAATCAAGGAGAGAAGCAACCTAGAACTAAGGAGAAACTTCCTGACAGTGAGAACAATTAATCAGTGGAACAGTCTTCCTCCAGAAGCAATAAATGCTCCAACACTGGAAGTTTTTAAGAAGAGACTGGACAGCCATTTGTCCGAAATGGTGTAGGGTTTCCTGCCTGAGCAGAGGGTTGGACTAGATGACCTCCAAGGTCCCTTCCAACTTTACTACTATTACTATTACTGTCTCCAGTATTCAAGACGTTCAGCTTTTCCAGTAGTAAATCCATAAAGTTGCCCAACAGTAAGACATAGATTTTCTCCTTCATTTATGAACCCACTATTTATAAACTAACTTATCTTTAGGATTTTATTAATATATAATTTTGTCTAGAGGAACAGTAAGATCCAATTTTTAAAAGGCACTGGTTCAGAAATTTATGCAACATTTATGCTCTGTGTACTGTGTGTTCGCCTGTCCTCTCTTCAGCACTAGTGAGTGATAATATAAAATAACTTCCAACTGATACTTACACAAAGGAGTCCTCAATTTCACTTTTAGTGTTCTGTTCTCGAAGGGTTCTGGCCAGGAAGAAAGTTACAGTACAGGCTATGAGAAGAAAGACAGCAACTGAAGCTATTGCAATTCCCACAACAAGTGGCTCTGAGACATACTCTTCACAACGCTCTCCTCTATACCACCAGTTTTCACCTACACGGCATCTAGCATTTGTTCATGCCAACAGGACAGTGAAAAAGAAAAACAATGATGAGTTAGTTATTCTACTGTCACCAGAAATGACAGAATGTCAAATGGTAGTCTTAGCTAATGCAAGATAACAACAGAACAATTGCTCATATGTTATACAATTATACAATCATAACTAAATTATTGAGACTAGTAGTTGAGGCACCAGACTAGAAACCAGGAAACTGTGAGTTCTAGTCCTGCCTTAGGCGTGAAAGCTGGCTGGGTCACTTTGGTTTAGTCATTCTCTCTCAGCTCAAACCCCTCACAGGGTTATTGTAATGAAAATAGGAGGAGGAAAAAACATTAGGTTTGTTTGCCACCTTCAGTTATTTATAAAAATAATAAACGTGAAATAAAAATCAGTACAATTAAAAAATATAATAGCTGTGATTTTATTCATTTGAAAACCAGTTGAACAACTATGCACTTACCTACATATTGCTCCTTGCCCTGGGATTATGTCACATTTGCCATCATTTTGACAAAAGTTACGTTGCAGAAGACAAATGCTATTACATGGCAATCCATTAATGCTTAGATAACCAGGATAACAAACACACTCAGCTTCTCCACTCCACTGGTTTACCAAACACTCCGAAAACTCATTGCATGCCTGGAACTTGCAAGGGTCAGCCTGGACTCCTGAAAATGATGGGGGGGGGGGGAAATGAATGCATTGAGAATAGCAGAAGAGTATACAACTTTCCCTATAGGAGTGGGGTTTTTTAATGTAAAAAATTTCATTCATATATTTATATTCCTCTATTCTGTTTTGGGACAAATAACTTTATCCAAAGGGAAAATGCGATTAAAAAAATAAATTATAATTTTAAAACTAAAAATCAATCTTTAAAATATAGTTATTAGCTCAAAGAAACTGACACATTAAAAACTTGTTGGGAACATGAGAACAAACTGTGGGTGAGGCAAGTATGCAAGTTAGCCAGATTCTCCTAAGAGGCTCATCAGATACACTTGAGAGGTCTACAAACCAGGCCTCTTTTGTCATTGTAGTTCCCATGCACCAAGTATATAGAAGTAGACTCTCCTGTGCTTTGATGTAGCACCCTATAATCAAAGCTTCATTGCTGCAGTACACTTGTTCTGTATATCAAGCCATTATTTATTCTTGCTAAATGGAACAGTATAAAATTTGCACAACAGCAGTTATATATAGTGCTGATCTTACTTTGTATCATGAGAAGTCTGAGGTCCAAAAAAATTGATATGGAATGATAAGAGCTGTGGTGATGCAATGTGAAGCGGTATATAAATTTAAGTGCTATTGCTATTGCTATAATTGGATACAATGGAGTGAGATGGAAAGGATTTTGATAGCATTCAGTTATCTAAATCTGTTGTATTGTTCTTGCAGTCTTAAAGTGTGTTTGGTAAAAATATTCTGCCTCAGTGAAAATAAGCTAATGGGACAAGCAAAAGTTCTTTTAATACCTGATTCAACATCAAGTGAGTACTTATCAATAGCCAGATTCATAGTTTGATAGGCCGTGTTGCAAAAATCTTCCAGAATCATGTACACAGAATTAGTGACATTGCGAGGCACAGGTCGTGCAAATTTCATTCGGCTGTTAACCACAATACTACCATTCCTGAAGTTCAGAATTTCCAGATTCTGGAAGCCAGTTAGGTTTGATTGCAAATAAGGAACCAGCTATAATGCAGGAAAAACAATATATAAATGAAATATAATGAAATATATCTACAAATATAAATGACATATAAATATAATGCATATATCTACCCATTCATTCTGCATTAACCCATTGCCCTAAACTATAAAGGGGTTCATTGGGTCTGTCTTAATATGATGCATGAGGTTAGCTTATATTGATTGTATATTATAAATTATGTTATGATTTAGTATCATGTGTGAAACAGGCTGCTCAACAAATCAGCAAACATTGGCTTAATATAGTATGAGGATTGATCCATGAGCTGTATGTGATAATGTATATTCCTGGTTAAATATCCCATTAAAAGAATAGCATCCATTAATGTGCCACAGGTGGAAAAAGCTATTTAACTTTATAATTGTGTATATTAATTAATTTTTACTAGTGGCCGATGTAGTGACAAATAAAAAGTACTTTTCCATTATGTCTAAATAAGACATATCAGGATATTCTAGGATAGGGAAGTGATCAATTCAGCATTTTAAAGGACCGCAAAGGGAACAAAATATCATAATTTTTAGGACAGTTAAATTCTTTTGCATGGGCAAAAAAGTAAAGTTAAACCATATAAGGCCAAAATATGTTTTAAACCAATAAGAAATAGATGTGCTCTGCTATGCATGTTTATAAATACCATAACCATCCCAACCCTAGTATCTGCTTCTACAGAGAGATAAAACAATTTTTGCTGAATAAAATTTCCCTTTACCTGCTAACCCTTTTTACTCATTGTTAGTATGCAATGGACATAATGGGCAATGTGCTGTATGTTGATAGTAAACAATAAAGCATATTTCAAAGCTTGAGTTAACCAATTCAACAATCAAAATAAGAATATGTCTGTAACAATTTCAGTTAATGTTAGTTCATTGAGTATCTATAAACAAGCAATATTAAGTTGGATATGAAGAAAGTAAATCTGATTGTTTGTATTTTTTTTAACTTTATAATTCTTTGTCTGTGAATTGTCTGTGAACAGGTTAAAGTGCAAATTAGCCATTGCATATCATTAAGTTAAATGTTACTGTCTTATGAACTGTCCAACAAAAACAGGATCAAGTATGCGCCTCTAACGGTCACATATGCTAAAACAATAGCCACTGGCAAAAATAGTATTTTTTTTCTTACCAGTTCTAGAAATCTTTGCTCCAGGGCTTTATATTCAGGGGAATTTTTGTTAAACAAATCTTCTGAAAAAATCATGTTAGTAACTCGAAGGCTAAAGAATACAACTAAAGCACGTGCAGGGATAGTTACATTGTTGGGATTTTCAGGAGTAATCCCAGATATTTTAACCATTTCAGTAGAATGGACATGGGTTAGTAGTTCTACATGACTGTCGGTCATAATTCCTTCTTCCTGGTTCATTTCATGCGAATAATAAGTTGTGACTTCATAGGTTTGCCCTGTAACTTCCAGTTCTTTTGTGACCAGGTCTTTTTCAAGTTCAGGCAACTGGATCACTGGGCTGTCCACAGTAGAATATGGTGATAAAATTATTTCCGGCTTTTCTGATCCTTTTATTATAATGGCTGTATGTGATTGAGTTTTTGATGACTGTTCTGTTAATACTAGGTCATAGATTTCTGTTGCTTCAGAAATGATTTCATCCTCCTCAGTAGAATGCTCTAATTTTATTGTGCTGTACATTTCAGTAGTTGTCACAACTCTTTCATCTGAGGTGACTTCTGTGTCAATAGATGATTGGGAAATGGTTGTATCTAGAATGTCCTGAATTGTATCATCCTTTGAAAAAACTAATGTAAAATATGTTTCATTATATTCATGCATACCAGATCCTTCAGTTTTCAACCAAGTCTCTACGTTAGCTTGTGGCTGTTGTCCTGAACCAGAACCAGAATAATCAATAGTATCCTTTTCTTTATTTATAGGAGATTGCTGAGTTTCTTCTTTTATAACACTTGTAGGTAATTCTTTCTCAGTGCTAGGCTCTATTGCTAAAACAGAAGCTGATGGAGATGTAAGACTAAGAGGAATTGCAGAATCACTTGTAGGTAGAATTTTCTTTGGCACAATATGAGGGAGAACAGTTGAAGGCACAAGCAAACCTTCCAACTCTTTCTCTTTTTCAAGTCCTAGAAAAAAATCAGTGCATAGTTAAGAATGCATGTTGTGAATGCACCTTATTGGAGTTTGCTTCTTAAGAGACCCAAGGATATTAATTGTTGCTCAGCAAATACTGAAGTTTCTTTAGGTCATACTCATTCTTGTATCAATGACAGAAAAATATATAATTCTTCTCTTTATTCAAAACCTTTAGGATAGTTGTATTAATACCAAATCAAAGTAAATGGAATAAAACTATACAAGGAGTTTTAAAGCATATATCCCTTTCATTTAAAAATGCTTCTAATTTAATTTTGATTATAAAATATACATATGTCTCAATTAATTCTGAAAGCAGCAATCAGTAACAAAATATTGCCATAATATAGAGTGGGGGACATTAAAAAAGCAATTGGAATTGTAACAATAAAAAAGCAAAACAAAATATTAACAAAATTTATATGCCAAAGGAATGGCAAGTCTGTTGACCAAGGTAATTTTTATTTAGCTAGAAACAATTAGTAACCTATGCAAATCAATCAAAATTGCTATAATATGTCTTGTAAATCCTAACAACTGCAATTTGCACCAATTACGTTCACAAGCTTCAGTAAGGATTCCCCTTTCCCCCAAGACAGACCTATGGAATACATTACACTAATCTACTTGTAGAAATTTAGAACATGAATGACTATGGAAGGTTGTTATTCTGAGCAGCTTTATACATCTAAATAAATAAATGTCAGGATTTAGTGGTGGATTTCCTAACATCAGTGTTTCTATTATGTTCTGAGAAATCAAGATTAAAGCAAAGGAATTTATGCAATTATTAAGGAGATATATTATATTATAATAAATTATATCTTTGAGAGAGATGGTCAGTTAAAATATGAAATATATTTCTGCACAGGGCTGCAGTTATAAATGTGACTCCTCTGTCAATGCAATTAAAATATTTTCCATCATAGTGCCAACATATGAGAATGTCTGCCTGATTATGAAAAGCTGTAATTTCAATTCATTCTTGAGGACCAATTTTGAAGTAGCCAATCAAGAACTTTGGCAAAAATACTCTGTCCATAAACATGTCTGAAAAATATACTATCCTAAGTCTTATAATTAACTTACCAATGTCTAATAAAGATAAATTAGAATGACTTTCCAAGTCTATATGAGAATCAGTTCCAAAGAACAGTGGTGTTCCAGGATGTATTTTTTGCTTTTCATCCATAAAAAGCAAATCTTCTGGGGAAATGGTGATATCAGTTTTTGAATTGGTTTTATCCACTCCATCTGGTTTTATCCACTCATTATTGTCAGTATCAAAGATTAAATCTGGTCCTGGCAAGTCAAATGGCAAGTTGTTGCTTGCAGTTGACTTATCGGCTGAAGGCCACTCAGATACTATGGCATGATCCTAAAATATAGACCCATAATGGTTATAAACAGTGATGATAATAATAATAGCTCAAATTACCTTATAGTTCACTCCCACATCACATTAGTTGTACAACTTACAACAAATCTATGAGCAAATGAGAACTCTAAATTTATCATAGGTTGTGACTGGTTAAATATGTCATCAGAGGCATCTGCAGGGATGGGGGGGGGCAAATGACAAAAGTAGTATCATATTAAAGTGGCAGTCTTACAAGGTAGACCAGACTAAGAAACCAGTGCCAGGTAAATCAGGACTTCTTTTACTGTAAGAGCAAATAATAACATAATTTTGCAAGTAGGGATGTGCTTTTCTATCCCTTACTTTATCTTTCTGTGGTCTAGGGAAGGCCTTGTCTGAGAGGTTAGCTTTTCTACTTTGCTACACTGTTTTCAGCTTAGTTTTTAACACCTTCCTGCATCTTGTATTACTTTCAGGAGAAACTACAAGTTGAATGCATCAAATTAAAAAAGAAACAAAAGAAACAAAACACCCTTAAACCCTCTCAGAAAATATTTCTGTACTTAAATGCAATGTTAAGAGAGACTAATCTGGACTAAAAGGCTTCTTTATGCATAACTGTGTTAAGATATTACTAGATTCCTATCCTATAAAGCAGACAAAAGACCTGCTTTTTTGTTAATTTAAATCCTTCTCACATGTTCAGCGATTAGCCCATCAATAATAACTATTTTTTATTCAAAATGCAAGAAATAAGTAATATAATGTAGGAGAACCTAGAGAAAATATGCACAATTATATTTCAAAGTACCGTACCCACAAAGACTGAGGACAATTATTTTCAGTAGAAATATTTGGACCATTTACTTACAACTGTCAAGAATTACAGTTCATTCTTTATTTAAATGCAGAGACATACTGATATTATTCAAAGATTTTCAAATCATTACAAAAATATAATATTTGGGGCATATTTTAGATTCTTTTATTCATATGTGTGTGTGTGTGTGTGTGTGTGTGTGTGTGTGTGTACATATATACATACACACATATACATTTAAAAGACTGTTCTGAAAAAATAAAATATTTTACAAAATCTTTTGCCAGTAAAACAACAAATTCCGTAATCTTTATACTGAATTTGTGTCAAATAAAAAGAATTGAACCTAAAATCTACCATAAATAATTAAACCTGAAGATTAAAAGAGCACGAGAATATTTGGAATATTGTTGACTTTTATCTTATATTGAGTAAATGTACATAATACCAAGAACTTCTAGAACAATTTTTTTACAAACTCTTAAGATATGAAATTTGTAAATTATGTGAATTGTAATCCAATTGGGAAACATTGTGCTGGAACAAGATGGCAATAAAGGAAAATCAACTTACATCATCAATGGGTTTAGCAGTAATCCATGATGGGATTTCAGTCACCATTTCCTTTACTAAGAAGAAAATATTAAAAAGCAGTTATGAAATATGTTGATTTTTAAATTGTTTGCGGTCCTATTTTCTAATCCTCATTAAGGGAGCATATGCAATTTAATACTGCCAGTAAGAATTTGTAGAGTCGGATCTAGAACAGATATACATATGGTAATTCAGTGCATCAAAGAACACAAAGGGGGGTATTGGATATATTAGATCTATGATCAGAGTAAATAGAGCCACTAAAAACTGAATACACAATTTTTTGTGTGCATGTTCTCTAGAATTTCACATAGAATATAAGAATTATACTTATACAGCATTTCTTAAGCACACAGATAAATAACTCAGACTCAAAGAGGTAACAAATGCTGGCAGAATAAGCTGGAACAGAAAGAATAAGTCTAACAATCAATATAAAAAGAATAATAAAAGTAGATACAACATTGTTTGTATGGATCTTTTCATGATGTTTTCAAAGTTGGTCTACTGCAGGGGTGTCAAACTGCTGGCCTGTGGACCGGACACATCATGATGAAACTGTGCCCACCCCATTGCCAGTTCCGATAAGTCGCGCGACGTCACATGATGTCATGAGTTTGACATGTCTGGTCTACTGGTTAAGGCACCAGATTAGAAAGCAGGAGACCATGAGTTCAAACCCTGTCTTAGCCAGGAAAGCCAATTGGGTGGCTTTGGGCCAGTCTGACTGCCGAGCAATAAGACTCTCCGATTTCTAGTCTGGTGTCTTAATTACTAGATCAAACAAACCACTAGATACAAACAATGCTGTATCTATTTTTCTTATCCTCTCTTAGCCCAAACCACCTCACAGAGTTGTTGTTGTTGTGGGGAAAATGGGAGAAGGAAGGTGTGGTAAATGTATTTGCCACTTGAGTTATTTGTAAAAATAATAAAGGTGGGATACAAATAAATAAAATAATAATAGTCTGTTGGTTGTGTCTGAGATGTTATTGATGTATAGCGATCCTTTTCATACCTTGTGTTGCTTGTGCTGTAATGGATTGAATAGTCAGGCACTTTTTGATAAATAAATGAAAGCAGGAGAAATACAAAAAAAGTAGTGGTTGATAAGATGATCAAAATAAAGAGAAATTTTAAGAACGCCAGGCAAGTGATATATGAAAATGGTAGTTGCAAGTAAAGATATAGTGTTGATATGAAGTTGTTTTAGCCATGTTTCCCTTTCTTTTTTATCTCATGTTTTTTATATTGTGCTTACTTTTTCTCCTTTTCTGTTTTTTGCTTAATGTTGCATACCTAAAAGGCAAAATAGTGCAACCCAGGATTTTTTAAAGTTATAAATCCTGAATTAACTCCTTTAAATCTTTCTTCTTTTATAGTCTTACAGTGGAGGTTCAAATATCACTGTTGGGTTTCATCTAAATCCATGAACCCTATAACACAGAAGCAATGGCAAGAACCAGATAGTCATCCATTAAAATAAAATATACTTTTAGAAATTGAAATGAGGTTTTTTAATACTGTAATCTATTAAATTCTTAAAGTTTTTGTTTTTTGCCTATTTTAAGAGTGAAATCATTTGAGTGAACTGAAACAATATTTATATACCATTAATAAGCTGAAGAGAACCAGGATCCAAGGACAATGAAGTATTTTCAAATAGAATGTTCTTATGGAGGATCTCAGCAATATAATGTCTGAAGTCACTATCCATATAAATAACTGTGGAGTTGTCTTCAATTTCTGAAAAGGAGTTCTGTTCCACTTTGTTTGGCTGAAGGTTAATCCAATCCCAGATAATATTGTTCATATCTTCCCTGTCAAAAACCACAGCATACAGGACTTTTACCCTGTTAAAGGGAGAATTAGAAAGATGTGTATTGTCATTTAAACTCTATATTAGCAGTTACAGCTTATGTTTTGTTTATAAGTCATGTAATATATTTCTTTACATCCTTTCTGATAATGACTATTTTTTTGTAATTTAAAGCTTCAGTTTAGATACTATTCTTATTGTATAGGGACAGCAATTACATCAATTATATTGCTTGATATAAAGTGTTTTTTAACCAAGATTCACACATGCACAGATTAGTTTTATATTAACTGTAATTTTCCTGAAAATAACCCTTTCTAAATTGCAATTAGATTCAGAAGAAAGTCCAATTGATACAATTATTAATGGGTTATTTCAATGTATTTAGTAATATAAACCCTTCTAGTGCCAGGATTTTTGTCAATTTTCCAACAAGTATCAGAAACATATTTTAAAGGACTATTTACAAATCCTTGGTTGATTAGTTGAATTCTATCTATTTCACAACATCTACCAAAACACTGAATTTATTACAGAATGCTAAAATTTATTTAAACAACTTTTTGCTGATTCAAGTTGGTTCTAGATATAGGAAATTTTTCTAGAAATAATCTGATTAAAAGAAAACAAGTAACTATCATTATGAAAAAAAGTATTTAGAAATTTTCTTTACCTGTTATCCTGAGTTGACCTAAATGTTAAGGTAAGATAGAGAATACCTGTTATAAATTAGAAATATTGCTCCCCAAATAAAATTTATAAATCAAATCTTCCCATAAAGCAAGAGAAACTGAGATTTAATTAATGGTGTCTATATTGTTTAGAATTTGAAGTTTAGTGTATTAGTCTAAATTTAAAGCAGTTCTTTTGAATTGGAAACGGTGCTTTATATTCAATATTGACTGTTTCAATCATTTTGGAAGTAAAGATTGAAACAGCTCATTTCAGACACAAAACAGCAGCTTTGAATTTGAAACAACTCATTCAACTAAAAAACCAGAGTGTTTTAAATTCAAAATGGTTTGAACGAAGTCTATTGCATACCCCTTTTAATAATGATTCTGATTTCATGCTTACTGAAGGTTTGAAAAAAATATAACTACTATTCTATTCAGTGAACTTTTAAAAACTTTAATGAATAAGGCCCAATCATGCTTTCCTTGCTCTATGATAAGCTTAGAAAGGTTTGAGTTTAGGAGTCCCTTAGTTTCTTTTTTTCTTTTCTTTTTTAGTTTTTTTTTTTCCTGTTCCCATATCCACTCTGACTTGGCTGTTCCCATGAAGTTGGCTCACTTCAAGTTAACTTGGCTTCTAGAAGAGAGGGATCTATGCTGGCTCTTCAAAAATAAATCAGACCTAAAGTATAAGTTGCTTGTTTTTCTACTGCTTTGATCTTGCTCACTGTGGCTTCCAACTCTGGCCATTAGTAAGTTATTCATCCGTGCTTGTTATAATCTAACTATTCTAGGGATGAAATATAGACATAGCTAATTTTCATCCTTTCAGACAGTTTCACAATCCGTATAAAAATAAATCTGTTGGACCTGAGCTTTCCTTTTATCAAAACCAATTCCATTTCTACAAGGAGTAGTAGGATGTAGATAGAGATTTAGAGTCTCCTCCTAGCTTTCGTTCTGCCTGGTCTTTATCTAGGAGGCTTCTAATCTCAGGATCTTGCAACAAACTCTTGTTCTCTTACTGTCCTCCTAATATAATATAGCCAGCTAGGTTCTAGTTTTGCATATTCTGTATTTTCATAAATAAGTCATCTTTCTTTTCAAATTATAACCTTGCTTGATTAATCCTGGCCCAGATTATATTCCTGCTCTTAGGAATGTTTATGCACAGGAATCTACAGAAATGGTTTCAAGCTTCCTCTGGATTAAGCAAGCCACAACCATCTCATGCACATAAGGCTTTTATATTGCAACCAGTGATGATTGCTTAGAGCTTTTGTTAAGATATTTGATTGTAAAAAATATTGCCTTGTTATTCTTTCAATTTGATAGCTAACAGAACATTTTTAACAGAACAAAAGAAATCGTACATTTAGAGCAGGATGACTTTCTCCCATACAATTTTCATATTTTTACAATATATTTTATAATATATTTCAATAGGCATACATTATGGGACCAAATTATGCATCTAATTATTTTGTGTATAATTATTTGAAAATATGTGTAAGAAACCAATATTTAAATAAAACAAATGAACACTGCCCAACATATACAGTAGCATTTAGGAGAGCAAACTAAACCAATTTTGCTTCTTTGATATATTTTTATTTCATTATTGGTAATCATAGCCATATGACTAATACAAATATACAATTGTATACTGTCTATCAACAATGGAGCAAAGATACTGCTGTTATATAATGGTCATACCACATTTTAAGGTTACATCAACTATATTGTATTCATTAACTGTAATGTTCTCAGTATGTTTTTCCAACAAAAAGAGAAAAGATAGGAGAAGAAAGTTTTGATTCAGCAAGGAGGTAAAATATGAATTTTCATATGGACATTGTTAGCAATATTATTGTAAGATGCTTAATTTTCATTGCTTATAAAATTTCATACCTGAATTCAGTTACATGGATATTCTTGTATCCAGGCAGTCCTTCATATGCATTCTGAATCTACATGAAAGATAGAAATATATATCCTCAAACTCTTTTATTTGCAGAACTCACTGTCTAATTAATTCTCTCTCTCTCTTTCTCTCTCTGTGTGTATGTAATAATAATTCAGCTTACTCAATTGTTGTCCAGTTTCCAGTTGTATTCCATCTAGGAATTGCTTTGCCATTTTTTTCCCTCGATCAAACTCCTGAGGGAATGGAATTTATCTACTCAGCATACAAATGTAGCATGAAGTGTAGATATGAAAACATCATAAACACTGTCTGACATAATTAGTAGAACATTAATTTTAGCAATAGAAAATTGTCAACATACTAAGAAACTAAAGTAAGATTTATGGAGGAGGAATTGGATAAAAAAAATAATGTGGACAATTTTGGATTCTTTGCAATGAGAAGCGCCATAGAAATATAATCAATTATTATCTTGAAATGGTCTTGGTAACATAATTATAAGGTCACAGAATTTGTCCCCCATGTGTACACTATTTGCAAATTTTTGAGAAGTTCTATCAGAGCATTGATTTGGAGATTAGCCATTTCTACTTACTAAATATTCCTCAGCAAATATCTATTTCTTTTTTTTTCTTCCAAAGGTGACAAATCCAATCTTTTTCATTTATTAAAATTCTCCAACTTTCATTAATTTCTTGTATGTTTCATTTAAAATTTATATTTTTTAAGCTGAAAACTACTATTTCCTTCTTGTCTAAATCACTTGTTTAACTATCATGTGGTTATTCTTACTCCGAATCCAGCACTCATTATAGTTAAATAAATAAAAATGAAGAAATTATGTAATCCACATCCCACATCAAGAATGTTTCATAGGCAGAAAAACAATTTGACTATCTCAATATTCCTTCTTTCCCAATAAAAAATGTCTGATGTACATATACTCTAGCCATAATTAAAACATTCTGCAGTAGAGAAAGATTGTCTAAGCACTGTAAGACCATGGCAAAAGATGAAGGAAGAAAACTGTAGCCAAGTTGCCTATCTGATCAAGCATTTATATTATGGCATGGCTACTTGGCTGCACAGCTAGAAAATGATGCTGTCTAGCTTAATCGAGCCCTGTTACAGTTACAGTGATTTTCTGTGATTACACTATAAATATTTTTCCCTATATGAAATGCTGTCAGAATACTAAATATGTATATTCATGAGCTTGTAAAAATATTGTAACCATTATTTCATAGATCACTCAACCCATGTTCTATTAAGTTGAACAATGGCACATATAAATCAATCCAGATTAAAAAGTGTATCTGACATTCAGGTTCAGGCCTGGTATAAAAATCTGTTTATACCAATTTTTCTAAAGAGGAAAAGTAAGATCTAAAACCAGTGCCTTCCCCTTTAGCAGATTATAATATAAATAATTGCAGCATTATGACCAAGGCCAGAAAATATGAGGAGTCAAGGACTGTTTATAGTTACAGCAAGAATAACACATAGAGCTGGGGGGGGGGGGGAATCTCTCTTCTTAAATAACTAAGCATGTGTGACCATTATTAATACAAGTCTGGTTTAGGAAAGCTGGATAAAACATACAGTTAATGTTTCTGTTTTTACTTTTTTAAATACCGAAATATGATAAACTTGACTGGTTATCCTGCATTTCTCTATTGGCATTTAACATGCTTATTCTGGATAGGAATAAAACAGGAATCCTTTCATTTCCAAGGCATCTTTCACAGAGCACTTGAAGCAAATATTATGAAGCTTGAACAGCAACAATGAGTGCTAATTGACTAACATTCTTAAATATATTGGGCTGCCATTCTCACTATTCAACTATTAGCTAACTTCAACTGAGTTATCATTTTTTGATTAAGACCTGGAAAAGAGATTGCTTAGACAATCTCTATTTACTCTTGCATATTATGAGATAACAAATGTCCTGCTCTAATCCCAATTAGATAATGATTTCCAATGTTTGTCTTAGCAAAGCAATCCTCACTAATATATAACCTTTTCTTGCTATTGTCTAAAACTAAGCAATTCTGGGGGTAATTGGGAGAGAGAGGTTGAAAGGCTATAAAACATGCCCACCAAATGCAACTCTTTGTAGGTCATGTCCAAGGATTGCCTACCTCACCACAATCCAAACTAATTGTTGTCTTCTGAGGAGAATGAATCTCTGACACTGTAAGTATAGGAACCATTATAATAAATGTTTATTAATGTTAAGAATCCTGGCTTCTTTTCTAATGTTCATCTTTCCTGATCTCTAACCTGCAAGAGCAACTCTTAAAGTGTATAGCAAAAATGTATAGGTGGTATAATTACTTCAGAAATAAATTGTTGAGAGAGTTGTTGATATTCTTCAGTGGAGGGGTCGCTTAGCTCATTGATGTATTTCTCTTCAGGAAGAAGAATACTGAACACAACCAACTGCTCATGAACAGGCTTCATTAGTTTTGTATAATCTCTTGTTATCTCATTACTGACCTGGCAAAGCACACAAGCAAAAGAACAATTTGATTTAATGAATTCTAGTCGTAAACAACCTCCCCACACTATATTTCTATACCCAGAGCCCCTTTGCACCATGTTCCTGAGTCAGATAGGGACTGGGCTTTTTGCTGAAAATAAAAGAAAAAAACTGGAACTGTTTGTACCATGATCCCAGGTAAGACTGGTTCTAGGCTTCACACTGCAGAAAGAAGAGAGAGAGAGAGAGAGAGAGAGAGAGAGAGAGAGAGAGAGAGAGAGAGGGAGGGAGGGAGGGAGGGAGGGAGGGAGGGAGGGAGGGAGGGAGGGAGGAGAGGGAGGGAGGGAGAGAGAGGTGCAAAGAGGCTTTTTAGTACACAGCAGCTCTGAGACTATTTTTTTGTTCTCTCTTTTTTTTTTTTTTTTTTTTGCTTTGAAGGTCAGCCTCAGCTTGCCCCTGCAGTAGTGGGAGCAAGAAGATGGGGAAAGTCAGCTGCAACAGGAGAGTGCAGGTCAGTAGAGGACTTGGGATGCAAGGTGCAGCTTCCTATAATGTGACAAGTAGAGCTGCACATTTCTGGAGCTGCTTGCCACCCTACAAGGCAGGGTGAAGGGTGGCCAAAGAGCAGGGATTGGGGGAAGAAAACTAGGTGGGTGGGAATTGGAGGCAGTCCCTTACCTTACTCAGACTTGGGGCTGGGAGGAACCAAGCCTAATATGGCTTCAATTGAGGTGGGTACTTATTTATTCCATGTTTAACAACAGCAACCAAGACTGTTGTTAAACATGGAATAAATAAGTACCCACCTCAATTGAAGCCATCACTTAGTGACAGCAATCTCAGCAACCAAGACTGCTGAGATTGCTGTCACTAAGTGATGCAGTAAATGACATTTAAAAAAAAAATAAGTGCATTTTTATCTATGGAAATTCCAGTCCAAATTGTGGTCATAAGTCAAGGATTACCTGGAGTAGAGAAACTGTTGTGGAAGGAACTGGCTGTGAATAAAGGAAGACTGCAAAGTTGTGTGAGAATATAGGTTCACAATAGGAAAGGGAAAAGAATATCAATTGGTGACTTCTATGGAGGAAAGGATGTCTCAGAGAGATGAAACTTCACCCAAGATCCAAAACAGGGAGGAGGGAAACAGCTGGTTATGGATATAGCTGAAATCATGGAAGTAGATCGTGATCAGAGAAGAGAACCATGTTTTGTTTTCATTAATGGGCTTATTCTATACCATTGTATATAGAGCTGGATTTTCAATTATTAAATGCGGCAGAAATAAAATAAATTCATTTTAAACAAAACTTGATGAATTCTGAATTTTAAAAAATGTTGAACTACTAGGCAGAGATTTTCAATATTGTTCTAATCTTGGTTAGCCTTTGAAGTAAAAAATAATAAAGGATTTTTTTAAACTTGGATGAAATTATTACTGCTCCAATACATATCAGGCAACATCTATAAAAATTAAAGCAATCTTATATAGCACTTAAGCTTACTTCATGACCTTCTCTTTTTTCAGTTCTCTCCAAATGACTTTCAGTTGAGACCACATCAGGAGGAGGAATAGTGGCAACTATTTCTAAAGAAAATAATAAGTGTCACTTTATTTTTAAATAAACTATTTTGTTAAATAAAGAACAATCCAAGCATGAAAAGATTAAGATCAAGTCAAAACAAAATAAGTCTGATTAAAGTTTTAGTCACATTTAACAATGACCCATTGAAAATTGGAATCTAAGTTATTGCAGCAAAATAAATATTGACTTGGCCCATCACTAGTGCAGCATTTCTTTGCACAGAAAATGTCATTCCTTTTTATAGCTAGGGACCCCAAACCACTTCTATGTACTCTGTTCCCATGCAAAACCTTAATCATCTTGCTCCATCCTTTTCACTAATTCACAAATCAGGCAGTGGACAAATTAAGCAGAACAGACCTCTCAAAGTGGTAGTATCACCAACTGGAGAAGGAGTTGACATCCTAAAATTGAAAAATAAGAAAAACAAAAAGAAGTGTGTCTATGTGTGAGCGAGAAGAAAATAGATTAAATATTTTCTTTCAAAAATAACAGCCCTTATTCCCATGGTTCTTTCAGAAAAGAGAGGTAAATGGATAAATAATCTAATGCTATTTGTAGAATGCTTTTACAACAAATCATGAGTGTATGTGTGCTTGTGTGTCTCACCATTTTTACTGTGATAATCTCACTATTAATGAGGAAAACCTGATCATGTGGAGATCATTAAATCCAGAAATTATCAATTATATTTTCATTGCAATCAGAAGTAACTTTTTATATTTTCTGTCTCAAATCTAGCAAAGATATGCTTGATATTTTCTGGATATGCCTCGCTTTTTCTTTATTGTAAGTTTATATACATGGTGTTTTAAAAAACATATTAATCCATCCCCAAGTCCTTAATATAACATTTCTATGGTGACTTGTACCTAGTTTAAAATGTATATCGTTTTCCAATAATAAGAATAATAACAAAATAGAAAAGAAAGGACCGAAAATAATAAAATACAAAGAAATGCAAACAAAAGTAGAATATCAATGGCAAAAAAGAAAAGAAGAAAAGACAATATTAATAATTATAGGAGCCTTGGGTGCAATCCCAAAACATCTGAGCATCACTTAAAACTTAAAGCAAAAACAAAAGCCAGTATTTGGCATTTTGTTGTATTTAATGCCAAAATTCTCAGAAGAAATCTTCCAGAAATTGAGATAACTAAATGTTATCTATTTATAAATAGATGATTATTCTAAAATCAATGATGGCACCTGAGAATACAAACTGAGCTATTTAACTGCCTCCATTTTTCCCTTAAGAGTTAAGACACTTTACAATTATAAACCTGAGAAATCTTTGTTTATGGTGATTCTCAGTCATCCAAGTCATAGGTGCTTTTTCAAAGGCAACTGGACTGTTTTTCCCCTTCTTCTCTTCTTCTTCCTCAAGGAAAAACAGTCCAGTTGCCTTTGAAAAAGCACCTTTGAGATTGAGAAAACTTTAAGTTCTACAGAATTGCTATTTTTATGAAACCCAAATCGAAGTATAGAGACTTGAATATTCCTGAAAATATCCATGCATAAATACATTATGTAGAAATATCTGTTTGTTTCCATTTATTTGACCTTTAATCTGAACCATTTATCTACAATTTAACAAAAACACAACAAAAAAACCTCTGTGGAATGGAGGATATGATGTGCAGTTACATCTGTGAAAACCAATGATTTCAGTAGAGGAAAAAAGTTTCAGGAGACTAAGATTAATTAATTCAGTCAAGATTTAAATCTAAGCAAACCAAGTGGAATAAAATAAAGCTCTAATATTCGTCATTACTGAAAGATCAAGTGTGACATGTAGTAGATATAATATACTGTAAGCCTGGGTTTGGAATATATTCTTTGACTGCAGAGGAAGGAACTCAAATCACTAGAGGAAATAAAACCTATACAGAAAACCTGCCATTTTACATTTCGTTTGTATATTGGCTTTCGTTTTAGTAATTTCCCAAATTACTATTCATTCATTTTGTTCAAGAAAAACAAAGTCGGATTTTAAAATGAATGTGAAATGAACTGAAAAGATCCTATATTATCAAAGGCATTTTCTCTGAAACAAATATAATTCTGATGTCAAGACTGCTAACATCGTATGTTCTTGCTTGCCATATATGAAGAAGCAAACCTGTTTTATTTAGCCGAGTAGCATTTCTAGAGTTAAGACAGATAGCAGTAGGTTAAGGGGTGGGAAAGTATGCAAGTTAACCATAACAATGTCTGGGCACAGTGTGGCCAAGGTCAGCTCAGCTGCAACGGGAGGGGCACCTCACGGTTCACATTAATTGGAGAATGTGATTGATGACTGTAAAATGAAGGAGTGAGTTATGCTTTGTTACAGATGCTTGGGGGAGGGAGGATTCAGTTTCTGGCTTAACTTTGTTAGTGCCGAAGCTATGCAGAATAATAAAAGATTCTTTTAGAGGAAAAAGCCTCAAAATTCTTTGAAAATCTGCTTTCTTTCGGAACCATGTCATCAAGCCAGAAACCACAAACTTTTAAATTCATTTAGGGGTCCCTTACCCCAGTCACTATCCCTAAGCTAACGGGGACAGCTGACAAAGAGAAGGGGAAGATTTTGCCATGGAAGGGAAAAAAGTGCCTGAGGCTGGCACCCCCCCAGCCGCAGCTTCTCCAGGAGGAACAGCAGCAGCAGCTTCTCCAGGAAGGGAGGGGCCAGCTACCCAGACAGTGGAGAAGAAACTCTGGCAAACTCCACAGCTGGGAGCAAGGCCAAAACTATCAGGAGAGCTGATTTGGTCGTCAGACTGGGAAGAAATAGCTATGGACTTTATAGTGGACCTACCTGAAAGTAGGGGAAACTACAGTACTTGGTACAATGGAAGGGATACCCATTGTCTGAAGCCACCTGGGTGACGTCCAGGGAAGTGAAAGCTGACAGATTGATCAAAAAGTTTCATGTTAAACACCCCAACAAACCGAAAAATAACCCTTGACCTATACTTATGTTTATATTCCAGGGTCTGTTCTTTTTGTAAGGAGGGCCGGATGTCAAGACTGCTAACATCGTATGTTCTTGCTTGCCATATATGAAGAAGCAAACCTGTTTTATTTAGCCGAGTAGCATTTCTAGAGTTAAGACAGATAGCAGTAGGTTAAGGGGTGGGAAAGTATGCAAGTTAACCATAACAATGTCTGGGCACAGTGTGGCCAAGGTCAGCTCAGCTGCAACGGGAGGGGCACCTCACGGTTCACATTAATTGGAGAATGTGATTGATGACTGTAAAATGAAGGAGTGAGTTATGCTTTGTTACAGATGCTTGGGGGAGGGAGGATTCAGTTTCTGGCTTAACTTTGTTAGTGCCGAAGCTATGCAGAATAATAAAAGATTCTTTTAGAGGAAAAAGCCTCAAAATTCTTTGAAAATCTGCTTTCTTTCGGAACCATGTCATCTGCATGACATTCTAAGATGCAGTTCTAGGCTTTAGGAATTACAATGGTTAGGTTGGCATTAATACATAATGCCAATAACTCTTATTATGTGTAGGTGCTACAGCAGTCTTCTTTACAAAGTCCTTATGAAATCATGTTTTAGCCTGTGCGCTTAAAAGCATACTTAACATAATAGCTGCATATACTGTATCTTCATTTTTCACTGTGTGCATGTGGGTAGTATGAAACAATTTTGGTTCAGTGTAAATAAGCTGCTATCCCTTTTTTCTAAAAGAGAAAAAAGGATGTAGAAATAGGAACAAGTGGCATTACAGTTATTTTTTTCTTTTACTGTTTAAATTTTATAACTGCTCTTTGAAAGAAAAAAAACTTTTCCTGTTTAATAGAAAGTACTACAATATCTTAACATATAAATAAATTCTGAGCTCCCTAAATACTATTCCAGTTGACTGTTTCTCAGTATGTCTCAACTTATAAAGAACCCCTGACATTCTTCTATTTTTCTGGGAAGGTAGTATTCAATTTCAATATTTGGGGATATATATTTTATGCTTCAAAAAACTTTATATTATAAAGACCTCTTCTGAAATTACCTGAAATTGTTTGTGGCATATGAACAGTGATTATTTTCAACAAATCTTTGAAATGATCTTGTATTTATCAGGCAGGCCACAATTAGCTCTAATCTTTATAATCAAGACCTAAAACAATCTAGAATTGTTAAGTAAAATGATGCCAAAAAATTGCAAATTGGTTTTAAAATCATAAATGCAGGAGTAAAACTGAAAGCGAAGTCAATGGAGGAAATTGGATTTGCTTAATGACCACATGGTTCACTTAACAATTGCAGTAATTCACTTGCACCATAACACAGCAAAGAGGCCATAAAATCAGTTACAACTGACTTAACAACCGCTTTGTTTAGCAATGGAAATTGTGGTTCCCAATTGTAATTGTAATTCAAGGACTACCTAAACTATAAAATATAGAATAATATAGATACTCACCCATCCATTGCTTCTTTAGTATAGGACAATTTCTAGAAAAATAGAAAACCATATTTTAAATATGGAATTGCATTTTATAAATTTATGTTATATTTTATGTTTTATATATGTGCTTTTTATTATGTGTCCCAAGCATTCTAGATAGCCAAGCCCATTCATTCTTATTTATTCATAAAAACGTTCAAAAGAAAGCCCCCAGTAGGCTGAAGACATATATGTTTACTGAAATAAATGCATCAATTCAATAGATGCTTAAATTTAATAGCCACATTATTAGGGAATAGGGTTATGTAAGACTTCAGATGAAAGGTCCCCATTTAACACATAAAAATGGGTGGGGCTTCAATTGCACTATCATGGCAACATCTTGATTTGTGTTGTCATGCCACCTCATTCACAGATGTCCGGTCACCAGGATTCAAACTTGAATTTCATTCCCAACAACTAATATTTGTTTTAAAAAGTAAAAGGTTTCAGAGAGATGTTTATTTTCTATTTATGCAGGGCACATATAATATAATGTGTTTATTTGAAAGTGAATTGCTTTCATTTTATATTTTTCCTATGTTGATAATTGCCTTAGCTGCTTGGCTAAACTGGAATATAAAACAAATATATGGGAATTATATAGTGTGCTGATTCAGATTAATTTGTACATTTAATTAAAGGAAAATCCATATATGTTATTAGTGTTAAGGCAAACAATGATTAGGCAATCTAACTTTCTTGATTCCAGTTGTTGAAAAATAGATACTGGACACTCTGAATAGTTATTATGATTTCGAAGGCAAATTAGAGAAGGGGAGGAAATTTGAAATATTTAATGTTCTTAAATAAGATTAAGAGTTATTTCTGTTTGCTTCCCAAGCATTCAAAATAGAATAATCAAACTAATGAAGATATTAAGCATAAGCATTGCCAATAAGAAATCATAAAGCAACATTCACATGCATGTCATTTATATTGTTGGGAAAATAGCACTAGTTAGATATATTAGGATGCATTGTTTAGGATATTTTAAAGATTATTTATAATATTATTATTTAGCAGGCATATTTATGAATGGATTCCCTATCTAAACAAAGAAATTCATTGAGAGAAATAAAATGTGTCAATGAGCAGATAAGAGTGCAAGATACCGATATACATATTTGTGGAAAAGTGCCATTTTTATTTTTATTTTTTTACTGGTAGGAGCAGAATTTATAACCAATAATTGAAAATTAATGGGGGAAATTAAAATATTTTTAAAAGAGAAATAACAGTTTAAATTTTCAAATATTGCAATTGAGGTAGCAAATGAGTAATACCTTCTAAATGATTGCATTAATGAAAAATCAGTTAGAAACTATCTGAATGGGGGAAAAGACATACACAGAAATCTGCCCAAATATTAGTCACTGATCAGCATATTTATTTATTTAGAAAATTTATATGGCTGCCCACCTTCGGTGATTCCGAATGGCTTACAAATCTCTCTTCCAGGTACGGAAACCCTTATATTATAGATGGATTCAAACAATGGGATGTAAATGCACATTTAAGGAATAATATACAAACATCACAAAAATTGCAGTGGGAATAGTCATTGTCAGAAATATGGTTGCCTATTTATTGCACATTTTAAATAAACAATTAAGTAAAATGCATAAACTTTGAAGTTTTCCTGAATATTTAGCAATTATTTGTTCATACGATAGCTTAGGTCAGCGGTTCTCAACCTTTGGGTCGGGACCCCATTTGGGGTTGAACGACCATTTCACAGGGGTCGCCAAACAACGCAGTCCGCCATTTTTCCCCCTTTTCCTTAGCTGTGCTACTCCCTTTTATTCTATTGGCTTTTGAAAGCCAATAGAATAGACTCTCTTGAATAGAGTCTAATTCTATTGGCTTTCAAAAGCCAATAGGAATTGTCCAGGATTTCTTTGCCCTGCTGAGCCTGCCAAAAGTCCCATTCTGCAAATGGTGCTGCAAGTTGTCTGCAGCGAAGGCGAGCGGTCTGGAAGTTTCCACCCCTCCCTGCTGAGCAACTACTAAAAATGTAAGTAAAAGAGGGCCAGGGGTGGGAGGTGGGAGGTCGGTGAGCGCAGGGAGGGTTGCTGATGTGCATGGGGCCCAGCGGGTGCCTTACCTCCCTTGGACTGGGCCAGCTGGTGGCCCAGCCAGTGGTCTCTGCAGCTTGCCAGTTACGCCTCGGCCGGCGCAGGGGGCGGCACCACGCATGCGCAGCACTCCCGGGCAGGGAAAGTCCTCAACTTACGACCGGATGGGTAGTCCTCAACTTATGACCAGTTGGGGTCGTGGCATTAAAAAGGTTGAGAACCACTGGCTTAGGTGGTTATCACAATACAATTCTGTGTTTTATCATTTTGTAAACTAACCACTGAATTCATATTCACCAAATATGAAATATCCACTAGTTTTGCAGCTTCTCAATCTTGACAATTTTAAGAGGTGTGGACTTAATTACCCAAACAGCCATGTTGAAGTTAAATTTGCCAAGGTTGAGAAATATTGGATTACAAGGTGCAAACTTGGAAACAGTGGGGGCGGGAGGGGGGACTCTGTTAGCCCAGGACACGTATCTGACTCTAAATCACTTAGGCAGCTGGTCTGATGAAAACCAGCAGGTTTAAAATAACACTTACTGGAAGTGTTTGGGCTAGATGGTAAACATAAGTATGCTGTCACCTTGGATACTGTGGGATTAAGGACTCGCTCCTGGTGTCTGGTTTTAGTATTTGAGCAGATGATTTTTACAGAGACCACAAAACAACTCAAAGAAATATTGATACTCTATTCTGGTCTTGGCAATTTTACTGCTGCATAGTAGGAGTGTAAGACTAAATGCAAATTTAGTCTATCATGGCAGAAAAGTATAACATTACTTTCAACAGCCTGTTATGGTTCTGATATGTTAGAACCATTCCACCTGAGCAAATTGAGATTGCAGAAATGGGTTGCAATTTATAACATTTGTAGTATGCCATACGTTTTTGTTTCTTTAACTTTTTTTTAAAAAACTGGAATAGTCAGCTTCATTAAATAGGTATGTGTTGATTAAATTGCTCCCAGATGCTTCTGAACAAAAACTTAAAATGACACTATTTAAATAGTTTGTTTTTTATTTCATTAAAATATAATCCCAAAACTCATTTAGAAGCCTTTATTAAAGACTCTTTATTTTTTAAAAGTCAAATACTACTAGAAGCATACATTATACAATCATTATATGTGCCTTAGCAAAGATATTACATTTCTCCAACCTTTTCATTTTAAAAAAAAATATTTTACTTGTAACTATCACTGCAGCCTTCACAGATGGTTGTCATAAATATTTCTATAGTTTTATGCAGCTGATTAAAATAACTAATTCCTTAATTAGATTTTTAGGTTTGTACAACTTTTGGAAAAAAAGTTTAGATAAGCATATATTTAATATCACTTTACTAATGTAGTGGATTTCATTTGATATCACACAATTATAATAAGATAATTAATTTGTTGAGTTCCAGCTTTTGTATACTTCCTTGCCACAAAGGATCCTCAGACTCTAACATTTTTATGAACAAAAAAAGAAATCAAAGGAAATGACAATATCACGGCATGGAATTATTTTGGGAAAATGCAGAAAATAACATTAAAATGCAACACTCAATTCAAAGACTAGAATCAGCAATCCATATAATTCATTTAGCCCCAATTGCCCATTGATTAAATCAAATATATTATATCAGAACATCATAGCAGTTTTATTATTGAAAAGTACAGTACTTAAAAAGCTACTTAACATTAGATGATACCAAGCTAATTTCAATTATTTATTCCTTCTGAACATTCAGCTAAATCAAGACTAATTCTAGCTGGCTTGATATTCAATTGCTAAGGGTATATAACAAATCTGCATATTAGCACCTCTTTGATTCAATTTCTGTATAAATGATATGGCAGATAAGTTGTGTTTTGTTTTATGCAAAACTGATGAACAGGTCAAGAAGCCACATTATGGACAGAGCATGGCAAACAAACATTCTGCAGGTAGCAAAGGAATGAGACAAGGATTTATACTCTTCTGTTATTTATTCAATCTATATGTTGAATATATTTGTACCATGGAAATCTGGATTGGAAAAAGATGAGCATGTTTTCTTTTCAACTGGAGGAAGAAACTGCCCAATGTTGACGACATTTTTCTGACAGCAAAAATGCAAAGGGTCTGCATGTGCCAGTAATAAAAATCTAGGAGCATGGTGAAAAAAATGGGACTAAAATTAAGTACAAAGACCAAAAAAATGACAGCAGAAAAAATAACCAGCCTTAAAATGAAATTTTTTTGGGAAGTGTTAGATAGTTTCTGCCCTTTAGCCTCAATCATCAATTGTAAAGGAATAAGCAGCCAAGAAATGCATTGCAGACAAGCACTTGGTACTGTAGCCATTTAAAAATATTCAAATATCTGGATGATCAGTAGCAAAGTGTATAGGCTCAGTTACAATGGCAAGAGGTGAAATATTGGAAGACTCAAAGGACCTGGATAGGGACAGATCATTATGAAGAAAAATGTACTGTATCTGTTTGATTGTTAAGAATAGATGCTGACCTAAAGGTACATACATAGTCAATCAATCAGACCCACTTATAAATCTGATTTGCCATAAACTAGCTCAAATGTTTGCCTTGGTCTATCAACAGCAAAGTTATTATGCTTTAAATACCTGGGCATGGTCCTACAGCTAATGGCATTAAAAGAATTCATTCTAGCTGTTAGACAAAATGTGAGTAAGAGTGCATTCTAGGGGAGGTCAATATATGCCTGCAGCTATTAAAATTTTAGCCTCTGGCTAGCACAATTACTATATAGAAACATACAGTGCTTTAATTATTCATCTTTTGAATAACATTAACAGGATTTACTAGTAAAAAAATATGTGCAATTCCTGCTTTCTAAAATTAATCCTGAGATTACATATTATGTAGCTAGGTTCACATTTATGCTGGTGCTCTCTGAGTTTGGTTGCTTGCTGATGTTTTATTACCCAACTAGGTAACATCACCACTGTGACTGGATAGGGTTTGCTCCCTATTTATATGCAATAGCACTATTGTAAATAAATAGCGAGCACCCCCTACACTTACTCGCACTGATGATGTTACCTTATTGGGTAATGAAATGTCTGCAAAGCTCAGAAAGCACTAAAAACTCTCTGTGTTTAGTTATATTTGCTTTGTGTTGGTTAATGATTGTAATAACAATTAATAATGATTTCTCAGAAATATATTTAAAACTTTTTTTCTTTCACAATTTATTTCCCAACATTTGTTACTTTACATTTGCAAGATGACATTCAAAGTAATTTTAGGCACATCAAATAAATACTAACATTATAAAAATGAAAAACAATAAATTTTTAAGAGATTCTTCAAATTAGATGTCAAGTGCTAATTTCCCATAGCCTGAAAACTCTGAATTTATTTTTATCATGTCCAGTATGACATAGTTAAAGCTACAGCTAACTGGTTTAGTAGACTATTGAATAAAAAAATAGAATAAAATAACAGAATAATTGAAAAGGCAGTTTCAAAAATGCACATCCTTTTCCCATCATATAATATCTTATCTTCACTATAACTGAAACTATGTCCAACTGATATTTTCTTAAACACCATATCTCTTACCTTTGCTATGAAGCTTTGATACTCTTCAGATTGACTAAAATTGGTGCCCATTTCAAATATATTCATAGTTCCTGCCTCACATTCATTTAGCCACTGTTGGTATTCTTGTTGTCCTGGGAGTCTGTCCAAGAAAACTTTGAAGGCTTCCCAAATAGCTTCTTGGCAGACTTTAAAAAAGAAAGAAAGAAAAATCTATTACTGTAAAAGTACCAGTATCACTATTATGTAACAATTATCTTGTTGTATTAGGTCAGAGAGAGAGAGAGAGAGAGAGATGCACAAACACGCTGCTAGATACTGTTGTTGCTACTGCACAAGAACAATCCTGATGGATTAGAATTTAAAAAGAGATACTATTTTCAACTGAATGTTAGAATGTACAAAATGTCTAGACATCCACTAGAAACCATGAAAGAGCTATTCTGTTCATATGGTAGAGGGCTATCTGGTCTGCAAAAATCTGGATGCTATCTCACAGAAGTGAAAAGAGTTGCTTTACTTAAGAATGAAAAAAGGCACAGCTCTTTGTGAGTATAGAGTTTCTGACAGTGTACATCATAATAATAATGATAGTAGTAGTAAAGTTGGAAGGGACCTTGGAGGTCATCTAGTCCAACCCCCTGCTCGGGCAGGAAACCCTACACCATTTCGGACAAATGGCTGTCCAGTCTCTTCTTAAAAACTTCCAGTGTTGGAGCATTTACTGCTTCTGGAGGCAAGCTGTTCCACTGATTAATTGTTCTCACTGTCAGGAAGTTTCTCCTCAGAGAGAAATTGGTAAGTTAATATTATATGAAAAGCTATCAAGATTAAAAGTTAAACAATGACAGAAGAATGTTGAAAATAAATACAATTTTCTAAAGAAAAGGCTAAAAGAATAGTAACAAAAGAGAAATTATTTTCAATTATTTCAATTTATTCTTAAGCTAAATGTGGCTTAAATTGCACTAAGTTTATTGAGTGTATATATTTATAGTTAATTGTTCTATTAGTGTCTTCATGCATTATTACAAGGTAGAATTACACTGCCAGAATGTCACATAATTATGAACCAACTTCAACGAAAATGAAAAATGAATTTCATGATTTCCTGCAAGAAAGAGCTTTAAAGTTAAGATGAAGAAAATAAAATTTCAACATTTGTGCATATAGACAACGATCTTGTTCAGATAAATCACACAGAAGTGATGCCAAGAGAAGCTTTCTTCAACTAAAACTGAATGAAGAGATAAAAGGCCCAATTAGAACATTATTTTCTTCAATCTTCAATCAGCTGTAGAACATGGTTCATTGTCTATTGTTTTTGTTATATTTTGTCTGAAATAAATTTCAAGAAATCATCTATGGCTTGTGATATAGAACTTTTAAACATTCCACTTAGAAAAACCTCATTTTTTGTATAGTTACATACACCACTTTTCCTCCCTCTTTCCAAATGATAAAATAGCTTTAAAACAAATGTATTAAATAAGTTTAAAATATAGAAAATTATATTTCAGTCTACGCCAAGTAGGCAGGTTTTTTTGAGCTCATGTAGCAAATCTATCTGAACAGAATGAATAGTAAGATAAATCTGGTCTATCATAGAAATCAGAATTCCTAAACAATCAATACCATGAATTTTTCAAATGCTAATACTTGAAACTTCTTGTGTAATTCTCCAGAATATTGGATAATTGGATTGTTTATTTTTTGTTTGTTTGTTTCAAATGACCACCCATCTCATATAGATGATTCCTAAGAAAGAATAAAAACTCATTGAATAATTACAAACATAAATAATCTAAAAATAATACCTGAGAAACTCACAGTGTTATATAACGGGCTTATTCATTACAGCCTTCTGCAACCTATTATCTTCCAGATTTATATTTCACAATTTACATTATACTCAGTTTTTACAGCTTAGATGATCAAATTGGCAAAGGCTGAGTTATTGGCTTGTATCATTGACACTTGACAATAACATTTAGTATGATTTCAGTCATGTAAGGGTAGCCTCTATTATTATTTATTTGTTAAATTTATGTGCCATCTATCTTGCTATGGGGGATACTTCAGGGGGCTTACAACAAGAAAATTAAAATTAATTTGTGTCTTAGGAGGATTCAGTGTGAGAACAGTTTTCTTTGGGAATTGTATGTTTTATTTAAACTTTTAAGTGAACAGTCTAACATATTGTATAAATTGTCATAATGCTCTCTATACAATGAGTCTTCCTCACAAAAAGCTTTACTCTTTTCAGGAAGTGTCAGCTAACATTGCAATCAAATGCCTTTTCATCATTACACACAGTAAGATGCTTTAGTCTATTACTTGTCATTCTCCAGAAAGGGATTTGCTGGGGATCAGTGCCTGACTAGTCCTGCTTAGTTACTTGGGGGTTGGAGAGCTTGCTCGGTCATTTATGTAAACCAGCAGTTCCTCAATTTAATCCAATTATAATCCCATTTGTGTTTCTAAAACATTGAACCATGTATAGTATTTTGGCTCAGGCAAACTAAACTTTTAAAATTTAACTCCCAAGTGTCCAACAGTTTGTTACTCAACATGAGAAAATTAGTGAGTTAAAGCCTCAAAGAAGCCTTTCTCTCCTAGAATTTTACACCACTAGCAGTATTATTATTAGGAGCACTTTTGATCAGTGTAGGTCAATCTTATTCTAGATATCAATTCATTCTCTTGTTGGTAGGTAGCCTAGGAGGAGAGAAAGAAAAATGTCATGTCAGTTCACAGCTACTTTGACCATCTGGGCTAAAGAATCCTTGTCATTCCTCACAGAGGCCTTTGGGTGTGACAGCCCTCATCAGGGGATCAAACAACCATCTGTTGTAGGCCTTCCGGAGAATGGAACAGTTCTGCAAAATGCAGATCACATCAAATAAATAACAAATAGAGCAGAAGAAAAATGAAATATTTGAAAAGATTTAATTATATAGTAAACTGCTATTTGGAATTGAAGAAAGAAAGAAAGAAAAAGAAAGAAAGAAAGAAAGAAAGAAAGAAAGAAAGAAAGAAAGAAAGAAAGAAAGAAAGAAAGAGATGGACAAATGGACAGCCATTTGTCTGAAATGGTATAGGGTTTCCTGCCTGAGCAGGGGGTTGGACTAGATAACCTCCAAGATCCCTTCCAACTTTATTATTATTATGAAGGAAGGAAGGAAGGAAGGAAGGAAGGAAGGAAGGAAGGAAGGAAGGAAGGAAGGAAGGAAGGAGACATGAGTATGTGAGAATGTACAGTATGTTGCAGAAATGGCAGGTTACTCAAATGAAACAGAAGAGATGAAACATAAACTGAAGACAGAGAAGGACATTTAATGGCAAGATATTTTATTGGTAAATGGTAAATTGGCAGGATGCAGGAGATATTTGTTTAGGTTTCTGTGCTGTTAATTTGTGTAAGCTCTTTAACATCAGATGCGATATTAAAATATTACCTAATTTCAATCAACATCTACAGCACTACATCTACCACTTCAACCCTTTGGTTTCTAATTTATTTTAAGACAGCATTTAAATGTCTTAAATATAGCCCCCCCCCCCCCCCGCAAATCCCTTTTATTAAGCTTGCCATTCTTAAAGATAGCACTAAAGATAGCAGATACAATTAATTGATTATAAGTATGAAGAAACTTAGAGAGAAGTAGTGAACTCTATATGTAGAGTTAAGAACATTTTGTGGAAAATGACTGTACAGGTTCTTAGGAATATAACCAATCTGTTTGGATATTGAGACATGGAAACTATGGTCAAATTATATAAATTATAGAGGCTAAATGTATAATGGAAATGGACATAAATGGAAGAGAAGGAATGAAGCACTTTCTCCTTTGTCTCAAGATCACAATATTTTTTTTAAAAAGACTATGCTTAGAAGTCTAGAGATACTACACAGCTCATTGTAGGAAAATATAATGCCTTGAAGCTATCTCTCTACATCTTCTTATGGCAACCATGCCTTTTTCTGATCCTGCTTGGCAATGCATAAACTCATGATCTCTGGAAAATTTCTGTCTCTGTGGAATTGAATTTAAGTATTACAAGCTTTATGTTATTCTCATTTGTAATATTCACATAGTCAAGTAAATGATACGTGTGTATATATGTTTCTTCCAAACCCCTACTCTGACTGAGCTGTCATATTTTTTCATATATCACATAATTTTTTAAGCCTGCCTGCACTGAGAAGCAACATAACTTTTCCAAACAAAATTTACATTGCCTTCTTCAATCTCCCATATGTTAGTGGCTATCCCTTGAGGTAACAGAAATAACTTAAATTCTAGTCCTAATATAGTGAGAGGAGAATTTACTTTGCTAATATATAGTGGAAAAGTAGCATAATAATTAAAATACTGAATTAAGATGGGAAAATCTAGGTTCTGGTATCCATGCAGCTTTGAAGCCAATTGCTGTAATTTGGTTAGCATATTAGACCAGGCTGTAGGAGTACTATGTGTATTGTCTTGAGCTATTGCAGGAAATTCATGATTTAAGGTAACAAACAAGTGAAACAAAACAAAAATCCAAATAGACAGCTGTCCTTAATTGTCCTATTATTTGCTGTAATTGTTACTTCAGTTGTAGTTATCTTTACTCAGCCTATATCCTTCATTGGTACAACTTCCTGATGAGTAACAAGAAGACAAGGCAAATTTTAAAAAATGGCAATAGACCCAACATCAGCCCAACGGGGTTGCTTTTCTGAGGGTTTCTAACATTCACATAAATCTCTAAAGAAACAGCAGTTGCCTTGGACTGCTCACTTACCTCTAAGTTTGAAATATTTAAGATGATTGGCAGTAGCCTGTTCTATAGACTCTTCTGGGCATACTTTAATTCCAGTAGGAAAGAAAATGGACCTTTTTGTTCGAAATAAATGCCTGCTGAACTTCCGTGATTCCTTGAAGTCAAGAAAAGGCTTAGAATCCAGAAACTGAGGATGATTTCTATTTGTTCGCCAGGTATCAGGTGAAAGATCCAAAGAAATATCCTTAGGTACTAGTTCCTCTGTTGGTAAACAGAGAACATCACAAAGAAATATCTTTAAGGAGGTACAAATATGCTATAATACTACACTATCTTATAAGTTTCATTAAGAACTATAATCTTTCAGATGTTTCCAGTCTACCTTTCTGTACACATCTGGTAATATGGATGATAACTAAGCAGTGTAGAAGTTAAAATGTTGGACTGAGGCTAAGGAGATCAATATCCTAGTCCACCATTAGTCACCAAAGGCCACTAGGTGACTTTGGGCCAGTCATTCTCTTTCAGTCCAACCCAACTCATACAGTTGTTGATATAAAGAAAAATAAGGAAAGGAAGTCCTATGTACACTGCCTTCAGTTCTTGAACAAAAAGGCAGGATATGACTCTAATAAAAAACTGTATCATAATAATTATAATACCTTTTCCACTAGATAATAATACATTCTTTGTTGTTATAGTATTGCAAATAATAACTCTTAAATATAAATCTTTTGTTATTAAAAACATCATCATGGGATTTTTTGTGATTGGTGAATAATAATCAAGATTTCAAAAGAAAACATGTTTATTATATAGATTTGTGCCACAAAATAAGAAAAATAAGCTTGTTTTACAATTGAAGAAGAAGAACAGCTAGCATTTCTGTTTCCATAGATCTCAAGAAACTCCTATACTATTGTTAAAACATATTTCTGCCTAGGTGATGAGACTGATTTCTATATAGTCCGTATAATCCTTTCTCATATACAGAGACTATATAGAGTATCTCATACGTGTTCTGCATACATCTTACAGAATTTTCCTACCAGATTCAGAGAACTTGCTGTGACTCATTTCTTAAACATTTTCTATTTGTAACAGCCTAACTTGGACAAACAGCATAAAACTTTCAAGCACCATTTATGCATCTAATATGAATGGGCTAATCTAAATCTCTTGATGATGGCTATGTTTTGAGATTAGCTCCTGTTTTATGTTTTTTAATGTGGAAACTAATCAGACTTAGTTCACATATTTTTCTATTTGCATACTGTAAAAATTAACAAGGAGGAAAATGATAAATAGCTGAACAATTCATTGACTATATGAATAATAAAGTATTAGCAATGTTTAAAAATGTTATTTGAAATGAAAAATATATATAACCATTATAAGAAGAGTTACAACATGATATTCTTGCCACTAGCTTGAGGACAAATATGAACAATATTAAGAGAGTAGTTATTTTCTGAGAAAAGCTACTACTGAGTCTACTCTGTAAATATAAAATAGACATATGCTTAGTATTTATTATTATGATATACATATTTCAATAAAAGCAAGCCTTAGGTAATGCTTATACTTATGTTAAAGATAGGGACATTGTAGCCTACAATTAATTTGTCAGTTTCAAGAATTGCAGATAATCATTGGATTCCAGTACAGAAAGACTGATTCTAGCTCCCTATAAACATAAGCTATTCCCTCTCATTTTAATTAAATGAATTTTCATTAATTACAAAAGCATGGAATAACTGTTTAACTAGTAAAATGGCTTATAAATGAATATTAAAGCACATAGACAGAGACACAAATTATTAGGTATATTTTCTTACCTGCAAAAGATGGAAAATCCCTTTTAGCCAAAACAAATACGCATATTCCTAAATATATTTTCCAAGGAAAGTCACACATATTTATCTTTTATTCTATTTTATATTTAAAGTGAAAAGGGAAATAATCAAATCCCTTTTCCACTGGTCCAGCAATCCTGAATGTATTAAGCATCCAATAAGATTGTCTTCCAGGAAAAGCACTGGTGTCGTATATTATTCCTTCTGATCATTAAAAAAAAGAAAGTAATTACTATAGTTTCTTTAACAAAAGCCCAACAAAATATTTAAGATTATTTTCTCTAAGATAAATGATTTCATTTTTCATTTTGGGAGTTACAGAAATGCTAATGGAGAAGCTTCTTGATATTAGTCGTTACAGTGCAGACAAGTTTTTTTTTTTTTTTTAAATTAAGCTGGTCAGCTGAGCCAGCTTTACTGGAGCTTATCATGCCCTTAACTGGCATTCCATACAAGGACAGTACCATTCACACTTAACAAAATAAAAATTTAATCAACTTCTTGGGGAAAAAGTAGGCAATAATGTATGTTAACATAAGTTGTAGACATGTCTAAGAGATTTTCATTCTTGAGTGCTTTTGCTGTAACTCTGGATGGTAACAACACATGCATAATTTAATTTATCACTATGATTCTCCAAGCAAAGCAGGAAAATATTTAGGAAATAGACCAAGAAGAATGTTATTGAATAATATTGTAGTTATTTATAGTTTTAATTTTTATAATGCTATTGCTATCTCCTTTACAAAGAAAATAAACAAAAAACTATGGCTTTTATATATACATATATATGAAAATAATTTTAAAATTGACATACCTGAAAGACCAGTTCACATTGACCTTGATCCCAAAACGTTGATTCTAAAAAGCTAAATTTTCAGACCTAGTTAATATCTAGATATGAGTCAATAAGGTAATCCTAGGATTTCTGACTAGAATCGGGAATTGAAAAATATTTCCCCAAAGATGCCAATCCGTTCTGTATTCTTGCAAAGAAAAATATATGGAAGTGTTCATATAGTACATACAGTTGGTTCCAAAGCTTTACTCTTTACTTACCCAAAGATGTGTTTTGCATAACTGGAATAAAGTATCATAAATGATACATAACATGTGACTTGCATTTTCCTGCTTATTATGTTTTAATCTGGTTTTAATGGATATTTATTTATTTATTTAGTGTGGTTGTTTTAACTAGGTGAGCTGCCCAAAGTCATGAATGTGAGATGGGCTGGTATACAATCAAATCAATCAATAAACATGGCATAATAACAGTACTGGACAAGTAGTGGTTAAAGGCTAAATAGATCTAAATATCTACTGGAACTTTATTCTGGGACACATTACATCATTGTCTGATAAGGGGGCACCAAGGGCTGACCATCATACCATCATCTACAGGAAGCTGTCTCAATCTTTCTGGTAGACCTCACCGACAGGGCCTTTTAGTAGGCAAGCTTCTTCTTGCATGGTCTTCTATATGGCTTTTTTGGTGGCCTCAAACACTGCTCCATTTATAGCTCCAGGACCTCTTTATAGGTTTTACCTGCTAAATTATTGATGAACTTCTTCAAAGTATTCCTCAGATCTTTTTCATCAGAACACACTTGGGTCTCTTCCAGATCTTCTTGATACTGTATATATATCTGCTCCGGTCCTTCTCACTGGAGCTATTCAACTCATGGGAAAAAGCCTTTTCATGAAAAATATGTGTCCTTCCGCATCTTTAAATTGTAGGCGCCACTCCCACAACTTTCATACACAGACACATAAACATTTACATACACATATGGACATATACATATCTATACCTATCTACCTATCTTTCTACAGCTACCTATATACATATACATATGTACACACAAACACACAATATTGTAAATTCCTACTTTTACCTGCATACCTCCATCAGTATAAACAGATGGAGTCATACAAATATGGTGGGGACAGAAAGGGCTTGAAGGCATTTCTTTTCTATCAAGGCAGACTTTCCTTCCACAATGAGCCATGAAAGTGGAGTTTGTTACTGCCATGTACTGAAAACTATTGGATAGCAGACTAACAAAGAGCAGGCTATTTTGTGCACAGAATTTGAGAGTACTGACCACAAAGCAGCTTAAACCACAGTTTGTATAAGCTAATCATCAGCTTACAACCTTTAGAAAGCTGGAATGTTTGAGGAATACAAAAAATGCCAAACACAATTAAATCAAGATGTTCAAGACTGACTATTTGGACAGCTACTGCCAGTGAGTGTAGATAACAGAACTATATAAATCTTTGAAATGGCCTGGTTGCTCCCCTTTGCCCTAATTCAGTCCCATAAAAGGTGAAGAGATGGAGGAATCAGATTCTATAGTCAATTATATATACTTCTGCCTAGATCCATTAACATGAAAATGTATGTTGAAGTAGTTTAATTTTCATGGGCACAATGCAACCCCCACAAGTGAAAGAGTTTTTTTCTTCTCTCCTGGTTGACACAAAGAAATTGGATGAAATAAAAAGGCTGTAAGCTCTCCATCTATGCCATTTGTGCATTGTGCAAGCAATTATGACTTTAAAAAGATAATTCAAAATTACTTTAAAAAAGCAATTGATTGATTTAGGTCTACTTGTCTTTGATGAGATGAATTAGATTTATCTCAGTGTATTTTACACTGTGGAGGTGGCAAGCTTTACTTTGTAAAGCAAAATAATAATAAAAATAATTTTCTTTAATAAAGCACTGTATTGCCTTAAAACATTAGGGAAAGATTGGGAATACTGCTCAAAGAGTGTGTACTTTCTTTTTCTCATGGCTGTATCATTTTTCCTACACAGAGATAACTGATATGCAAAAGGAAAGTATATATCTAGGTAAACATTATATATATATATATTGATACAATTATAATCACAAAACTATATAATTAAAATATATAAGCTACAACTACCCAAATAAATAGCATTTGTTTCTTCTCTGTGCAGTATATATTTCACGTAAGAAAAAATTCATTTGAATTGAATATTTAAAATAATTCTTGATTACAAGGCTTCCAGCATCTGCCAAAGAAACGAACTGATCTGTTGCAAACAACTGTTAAGCCAAAACTTATTTCAACAGAGTAATCATGAGACTTTTATTAAATAAAAAGAACTCATCAAAAACTGTAATAAAATAATAATTTATTCAATAGTAAAATTCCTTCTTTAACATATAACAGCTGCCTTATTCCTTAGGGTTCTTTAGTCCAGTAAAAAAATCTTCTATTAACAGCTTCAATCTCAAATGTAAATACTTGAGGGAATCATAGATATTCAATTTTTCAATATGCATTTTTAAAATAATACAGTATCTCTTTTGATTAAGAAAAGTTTGTTTTATGTCACTTTTAAAAATTATACCTGTAGTTTACTTGGTGATAGAATTTAATGGGGCTTCCACCTAACTGTTAGTCTAGGATTTCAGTCGAAGTGCCTATTAAATACATTTCTACTGATTCCAACCCCAAAATAAATAATTGAAATATTAATAAAATTCCCACCAGGGTGATACATTGCCAGATATAAGCTCCAGCTGTACCCAGTACAGTGAAAACTTGTTTTAAGTGTCTTATCAAATACATAGTATTCATATACAATTTCTGAGCAACAGAATCTGGGCTATGTAACCAAGTTAACATGGAAAACAAATGACACTTATATTTTATAATAACTTTGAAGCATGATTTTACATTGTGTTCTGGCATTTTAAAAATACAGTGTAGAAAGTAATTGTTCGTATGAGTAAGAAAACCCAAATATAGCCAAAATCCAATGGATCAATAACATATCTATTACAGTATATTCAAAAGCAGCTATAGATATATTTTCACTATCCTGTTTACGTATTGAAGTGCTATTTTCAAAAATATTAAATAGAACTTTTAAAATGTATCCATTTTGTAAAGACTTACTTTCTATCTTTTGAAATAAAATTATTTACATTTCGTACGATTAAAGTATTCTTCCATCTTTGCTGTTTGTAATTTTGTTTCTATTTTTCCCATTAAAACAAAATTAGTAATGTAATAACATTTACTTTAAATTACATAATTATAAGTTATAAGGTTTCATTTTCTGCAAATACAGTTCAAATGTAACCCTTAAAATAAATACAGAAATGCATCTCTTTACAAAAGTAAAAGAACAAACAGTGCAGATTAGATTTCTCATACTTCTGGATCTATGCTTTTCATTTTCAAGACCCAGAAGAAAAATCTGCTAGCTTTTGCTGCCACTCTGCTGTTGAAAGTGTAGTTGCAAGATCAAGTCTCTAATCTGTTCTCGCTTTCTTCTCACTAGGTGAGGAGGGAACCATTGCTCCAAGTGTACCGGAAGCTCAAAGTTAACAATAGGATTCTGATGATTTAAAAAAAAGGATTCTATGTAAGTTTTTTTTTAAAGTATTGTTTATCTTGTTAGAAATGTTCTTTGTTACTAGTGTTAATAAAATAAATATATAATTCACATAATAACATCCTATCAATGAGTTGTATCCCAAAAACATAAGCACAAGTTTAAACATGCATTATATTCAGGCTAGAAATCAGGAAACAGGCACAATGCCAGCTGGTAACCGTGGGGCAGTCATTTTCTTTCAAATCTAGGAAGGAAATAATGGCAAACCACACTTGAAAATGTACCAAGAAAATTGCAGGAGTCAAAGGGCACTGAAATAACTAACTAATGAACTAACTAACTTAAGCTAGCTAAATAAATAAATAAATACTGGATCAGCATTGGAAGATCAGATGATCATATAATATGTTGTATCCATATTGATAAACCACAGAGCTATTTGCTTGCTAAAAGCCTTTTCGTGAAATGTAAGATCTGAAAGAGCATTTACTACCCCAACTTGGGCACTCTCAATACATGTGGGAATCATTTTCCCAAATTTCCCAGCCAGTCTAGTTGTTATTAGGAGTTCTAGGAATTGAAATTTACACATACGGATGGGGGCGTGACTGAGGAAGGCTGATGTAGAATATTTCTAGTCATCAGCCAGGGCACTGGAAACAATCTCAGGGTTTATCCAGAAAAAATAAAGGGGCAAGTACAAAGTACATTAAAATTTTGTTGTTACTTGTACCTGAAAAAAAGTTTCCACATACTGCAATAAGTATATTCCACAATCACTGTTATTATTTTGTTTGGGGACTCTTGGACAAAAATCTATCATTGTCGATTTGCTGAACTCACGACAAGTTTTACGTTTAGCTTCCCATTCTGCTTCTAGATATCTGAAATTGAAAAAAGAAGTATATTAAGATGAGTTCAAACTATGTTACCTGCTTTCCAATGCGATAACTTGAAAAATTAATTGCTGTTTATTT